GCCAAATAAATAAATATAAATAAATAAATTTAATTTAAAAAATCAATTTGAAGACAAATTAAGTTAAGAAACAATCAGGGGGTTAGGCCACAGCAGAATAAACATCTGTGAATGACTCAAGTTCGGGGGGAAAATGCACTGAAAGTGAACTGCACTGTAAGGAGACCTCTTCTCAAGCAAAACACTTCCCGTTATTAGCACACCCATGACAGCCAGACCTCAAACAACTCTTAGGTAAGACTGTCTCTACACTTATTAAAGACATGCATGTGTCAGAGACCTGACAACAGTCTGATTTTATCCAGAAATGTAGTCATGATGTTTATGAAATTAAGGCACGCAGAGCCATATTACTCCAAGGGGTATTTCCCAAACCTAAGTACCAAAAGTTATACACGCGCACCACTGTCTTCAATAACAAACTGATCACCACAAATGGAAGAGCACATCTCAGCTCAATAGACTATTTCCTGCAGTTTAATGTGTCTGCGTCAATCTCAATTAAACCCTTCATAACGTCACGTAATTGCAAATAAAGATATCAAGGTTAAAGTACTGTGGAAAATCTTACAAACTTACTTGATGACAAAGTTTCTTTTTTCTTTTCTATGAACTTTTTGGGAAATGCAGAAAGATACAATATGAGAAAACAAAAGTCACCCCCAGGCAAGCAGGATTATCTTATTTCCTTCCAAGCACAACAAAACTAACAAAACTAACATAGTTCTCTAGATACACTTTTCCTTTTATAGGTGACTTGTTCTTGAAAGGCACTTTTTTTTTTTTTCACTAAGCATATTACACTAGGGGTCTTTTATCAGATCGCATATTTTTTTTAAAAAAAGTTACCACTTCAATGCCAATATATTTTTTCTAATATGAGAATGTATCAAAATTTAATTTTCTAACTATGGGTATTTCCCTAGTTTCTAGCATTTTATAATCATCTTTCCAGAAAAAAATACAATATACTTATCAAAAAGATGTGCATGTGAGTTCTCATTTGACCTGCCTTGTTAGTATCACAGATTACATTTTACCTTCCTTTAATGTATGGATAACAATTAATTAGCAATTTAATTAGAGTTGGTATATCATAGTTTGTTCATAAACACATATCCCACAGAAAATGCTACCCTGAAAAGTAATTACGTTACACAGACCTGGTATTTCACTGGTCTTCTGAACATAAGGCAGCAGCCTAAATAGCAAAATTCTACTTGTTGACAAATTTGGATGATGTATCAAACTTCTGGTATTGTGTCTTAGTTTAAAAGAAATGGGATTTATCACTCCCTCCAAAGAGTTAAAACTGAAAAGATTGACACACATTTCAAGTTTATAAGCCATTTATTTCATAATTATCTTGACATCCCTTTAAAGTTCTTATACTATTAAAAACAAGCGTTTATTCTCTAAACAATTCTAACATAGCCTTTATCTGTTTTAAGATTTGTTTTCAGATAAATCAATGTGGTTATCACTCCTATTTAAAAGCTATATGCTAATAATTTTAATCATCAATTTTTCTTATCTCTATAGGAAGGAAAAGGTTCTTAGTGTTAATAATATAAATATAATATTTACAGATTTTCTTCTCATAGTTGAGTTTCAAATTCAAATGCAATTAAATTCAATTATTGTGGACTTCCCTAGCAGTCGAGCAGTTAAGACTGTGCAACAGGCTGGGGTTTGATCACTGGTTGGGGAACTAAGATCCCACATGCCGCCCAGTGTGGACAAATTAGTTAATTACTTACTTACTTGACTGGACACAATTCAAAACTGCTTTTAAGGTTAGTAAAATTATGTTAATGATAAAATATGTATATTAAATTGAGAGAGATGTTAACACACAAAGTATGAGAAAATTTCTGATATTAGGTAAAAGCCACCAATCAACTTATAATTTAGAAGCAATGAAGACAAACACTTTGAATAGCTTGAAGTAGCCAAACACCATAAATAACCAAGTGGACACCAGTAGGAGACAGGTTATTTAAAAAAAAAAAAGGACAGACAAAGATAGCAAACCAAGAAAGGTTATGTAGCAGTTAAAAAAAAAAAAATGATGATCAGTACCAAGATGTAAAGTTATGGGGGAAAAAAACTATGGAAAATGTGATATGTGTGTATTTTATTTGTTCATTATAATGCTTTATGCTGAAAACACCCATATATTTTCGCAAAACGAAATATGCGTGGGTGTATATATACATCAAATTATTTTTAGATGTATACACAATAAAGTGCCATCTACCACTGAGTAGAGGGTCACTGCAGTAGGGCGGGGGTTAACAGAGCTGTATTTTTACCTTACAGAAAACCTACTTTGAGGAGAAAAAACTTATAGAGGAATAGTGTGAGATAACTTCAGAGGAAAAAAAAAATCAATATACATTTAATAATTATTAAATATAAAGCATGATACTGTTAATAATTAGCTGAATCTTTAAATAATTCAGGACAAACTGGCTCATCTGCATTCATGCACTATCTTTGAAGAAAAAACTACATTTGAAGCAACTTTAGCTATAGAGATTAGTTTAGAACACTTTTGTAGCTGCTGCTTCAAAAGTTTTGAAGGACAGATTATATGCTAGCCTCTAACTGCATTTTATGGGGGAAAACTATCAAAACCTCCTCCACTTCACTAAGGTAGACACAGGGGTTCCAGTACTAATTAAGTCTCTTGTATCACACCCAATAACAGGTTATAAATCTGTTTTTGTGTGCATCCAGTCTGGTCATAGTTTTCACTTTTTAAAAATTCTCTATTCCCAATGATGGAAAGTATATAGGTTGGCCCACTGCTCATTTTCACGGCTTACTTTTGTTGTCTAAAACTCCCAAAGCACTGGGTGTGCTGGTGGGATATGGGCTGCTTTGGTCACACATACACATATATGCTTCAGTTTTTTTTCACAAGTTTCCTTTAAGAATGAATGAAATGCATACTTAGCAATGTGAATGTGACAAATATTTTTATGACCAGAAGTAAACTTTTGGAATCAATGCTTTTAGATAACTAACCTTCAATAGTCACCTCAACTTCGGGGTCCTCACTTGTTTCTGAAGGGACATGTTGAGTAGAATCTTGAAAGAAATAAAATTCTAAAATGACATTCATTATAAAGCACTTTCTATTATGTTCCAACATTTTACTGATTTGATATTCCAAAAGCAGCCTACTATAAAATTTTACTGGCATTTTAATTCATCTCATATTTGTTAAGTTAAAATATCTGACCCTTTTCATTGTACGTAGGGATGAAAGAAAATAAAAAGTAGAGAAACTCTGGAAAACTATTAGACAATACCAAATTACCTGCATTAATGGACTCAAAAAACTTTTATTTTTAGAGGAATAAAATTATAATGAAGTCACAATTATTTTCCTGCTGTAACTAGAAGACACTAGGATAAAAACAAAGGTTTTATTATTCTTTTTAAACTATTTCTCCTCTCCTTTCAGAAATCCTAGGAGTGGCTTATATTGTAAATAAAACCACAATCAAATTTTTTGCAATGGGGACCTTCATATCAAAACAGTGACTATAACAAATGCACACAGGACTGTATCACCTAACTTTATATGCAACATACTTTACAAAATTAAATATTTGTGTTACTACACAAAACAAATGTACATCAGAATGTTAGTGCTGGAAGCTCAGCTAGAGAGTATCTTCATCAACTCTCTTTTCATTTTGCAAAGGTTGAGAGATTAATTGATTTGCCAAAGATTATGTTTACTTGTTAGTAAAGGAATAAAGAACAGAACCGAACTTCAATTCGACTCTATTAACACTGCAATATGACAATAAAAATTTCCTCAAAAATAAAGTAGTTCAAAGCCTAATATCTAATTCACATTGCCCAATGAACCCCAGTACAATTTGTCTTGTATATAGGTATCTCCTTGCTGTAAATACTGCCTATCCAAAACAGAGGATTTTGTCACAGAGGAAATATCTAATTACCTACACACAGTAAAAGAAAACAAAAAAAATTTCATCCACACAATCGTCTTAAAAAAACTCAACAAGAAATTTAAAATATTATTTAAAGTGAGCATTTCAATACTTCTGCAAGAAATGTATTCCAATTAGAATACTCTAATTCTACAACTGAATTTGGAAAGATCAGTCAACTTTCCAGGGACCTTCAGAACTCCCTCCACTCGAAGAAAGTAAACGATCAAATTACTGATTTTAAAAAAATAAAACAAAAAAGCAAATATAAGGAATAAAAAGGTACAGAATAGAGTTCCTTTTTATTCTTAAAAAAATAAGGCTTGACACAACCAGTTTATGTGAGAAATAATAATTCTAAAACAATGTCCAGTTACCTTAACCAGTTATTTTCCTTGGGAGAAATCTACAAAAATTCTTTTTGGAACTATCTAAACGGCTTAGCAACAGGAAGCCATTCTGCATGGTAACCATTTAACTCAAGATTCCAATAACTAAAAAAGCTGTACCATAGTTGAATATCCATTCAATCCTACAATCAAAGGAGGATGGCTGGCTAAGAGACAAAGCAGTCCATGGGGTGGCTGTGAATATAAAAATGAGCCGAGAGGAGATCTTTCTTTCATTAATCGTATGGAGAACACATTACCCTACTTTAAAAAATGGTACTAATAGTATGTTTTAAAATGAAATATGAACAGAGCCAGTAATAATTTTAATTCTAACTATCAAAACCATTCTTTCAAAATATGGCAAAAAATGACCAAGAAAAAATGGGCAGCACTTTGCATCATGAAGAGCTGTACTTACCACTTAAGTTTTCCTCCCCATATGCTTTATTATTCAGTACAGTAAAAGAGGTATATTAAGTATCATCTTAGGACTAAAAAAACAACCTGTTGGCTAAGAAGGCATACCATAACAATCATCATTTCATTTCCAAATAAGGTGTTTTAAGGATAATATTCTCTATAGTACAGAACAACATAATACAAATACAGCAAAGTAAAAATCCCTGTATCTAACCTTCTGCTGGTACTTCCATTTCTGTTCCTTCATTGCCCTCTGAAGAATGATGGCTTCCTAAAAAGAAAATATACCACATATAATAAACCAATAAAGACTGGTATTGGAAGAAGAGATACTAGGTAACAATGCAAATAATAACATGAATACAAACTGATTCCTTAACTCCTTAGCAGTTAATACAAACAATGTTACCTAATTCAGAAAAACATGTAACACTTCTGTATGAAAGCTCAAAAAATTATTTTAAAACGTAAATATATAGATTAAACCGAAGTAGGTTTGGGGATTTACTATTAGTTACTGGAACTACACAATGTAATTACTGATAGAGGTTAGAATTTGAGAAGTAGAACAGTATGTTTCAAAGTGCCATGCTCATCTGTCAATGACACACACACAAAAACACACACCAGGGTAAATTTCTTCTTTGCTCATAGACTCTATCAAGGCTAGATAAACAAGTTCAGGTTGGGCTGCGAAATGTTTCCTGCTTTCCATTTTTACTATGGTGGAAGCTATGGAAACTCAATCCCCATTATTTAATCAAAGTTGCACTTAAAGGAAACTCATAAGTTAAAACTTAAGATACTACCTTTAGTCTCAAAAGCATTTTAATTCAGGTAATATAATCTGCCTGCTTCTAAAAACTGGAACATAAAGCAATGTATCAGGTTAGGCAGTCAAAAGGTAAACAGGCTCATCCTACCAGAGAAGAAACTTTACTCAAATAGGAAAGAAGTTCTAAAACCCAAGAGAGCCAATTAGGACAAGTGCCCAAACTGCCCCAGAATATTTATCCTCTGTCCTTAAATGTCTGAGCTACTAACATAGAAAAGATTGAAAATCACTGCATTCGTGTATAAGTAAAAATATATTACCTATAAGGAAGAATAAAGCACAAAGGGGGAGGGGAAGCAAAATCAGGTCTATTTTGTCATCCATTGGTAACTAATGAAAGAAACTATACTAAAGGTACAATTCCCAGACACAGGTTTCAAATACACTTTATCTTGATTTTTAAAGAGCACTGACTACAAACACTGTCATTCAATGCCTAGCATCTTTGAATTTAAAGTGCCATGCAAAGACAAAATGTTTTTGGTTTTCAATGTCTAACTTTATGGTGCTATAATTATCTTGGGATTCTTTTCCACTTATTTCATGTTCTGAAAACTCACCTGAGCTCAAAACACTAGATAAATCTATAAATCTGTAGCCATGAATTATTTCTTTATTTAACTTCTTAAATATGCTTTCTCAACACACAGCCCCCACCCCCCAATTAAACGTTAACATTTGAATTTATGGAGCATTGGGTTCTTTGACTACAATGCCAAAGAAAACAAAAATGTGAGGTCAAAACAATGAGAGATAAGGGAGAAGAGGCCAGTACTTAAAAAGGCAAGATTGGATAAGAATAAGAAAAATTAAGGTGATTGTCCCACCCGGTCAGAATATTACAAGAGTACATGTAAACAATGATTCTACGTGTACTTTTTGTTCTTTAAAAATCTGAAATAAGCAATTACATTTATATTAAAAGTAAAGCTAAATAAAATAAATCTTATGAGCTAAAAGCCAGAATAGACAGAAGTAAAGTAAAAGCCAGCACAAATAGCCTATGATCATCAAGTTAGGGAACACTACACAGAAATTCCCAAAGAGGTATTCAATAAATAAACTTAGGGATTTACAAATGATATCTTACAACCTTTCAAAAACCAAGTATCAATATGACCTTATTGATATTTACATTACTAACTATGCAATATAAGCCTTATTTCTGACTATTCTGATATAAGGTATAAATGTGTACTTTACCTTAAATATGAAAGTGTGTCATGTACCCATTTCGAGATTCATTACTAGATTCACAAAAGGGAAAATTGGTTTTGAAAAATTGTTGCTTGTGAAGTTCATTTATATGTTTAAAAAAAAAAGGCCAATACATTTCTTTTTCCTTTTCCATTTAGAAAAGTAATAATACAGATATAAATACTAAAACACAGTCTGTCCAATATAAAGAAACATTAAATAAGAACAGTATGTGGGAAAATGGAAGTGAAAAAGTTATACCTTGCAAAGACTTCGAAAGGGGGAGTTTGTCATCAACATCATCAGTTTCAGAAGGGCCTGCTTTGGGATACAAAGATAATACTTCAAAAGTAATCCCAAAAATGTATTTTGGGTCACTTCAGCAAACAAATTTGGGCGAGAGATATGGAATAATACAGCCTTTTCATGAACAAAAAAGGCAAAAAAAAAAAGAAAAGAAAAGAAAAGAAAAGACTGACAAAATGAATGGTGTCAATTTATGGTCTTAGTGAATGGAAAAGGTGTATTCAGATAAACTCATATATAGACAGTCAAAAGAAATTTTGAAAATGACTAATTCGACATGAATTGAATGGGAACAATATGTCTAAAATGGTGGATATGGGTAATGTTCATGACAGCAAACTGCAACTTTTACTTCATACAGATTGTAAGTGCAGATATATCTTACAAGGTGCATTTGTTTCTTCCTTGCCAAATATTTGGCTTAATATTTTGTCATACTAAAGAAAAATGCAGAATCAAATTGTTACACCTTCCTCAGAATCTCTAAAATAACGCAATTAACCTATCAATAAGCTTGAATCTCCACTGAAATAGAAACATGACAAACAAACAATTCAGAATCCTCCCTTCCTGAAGATCCATAAACACTTTTTAATAACTTAATGTGGTTTTTCCCAATTATTAACATACAACGTATTTTGTGTTAATTAAACCTTCACAGAATGCTATAGATTTTGACAACACACCTGTATGTATTATGCTTTTAGTGAAAGTAATAGATTTAAAAGAGAACAAAACATTGTGTTTTCAATGACTACTTAACATAAACATGTCCTTGCATTAATATGAATACAAACCACTGCACTACCTCTGAATATTTTTTGGAAAATATCTTAAGACTTTTGAAAGGCTTTGCAAATGCATGACGGATTTCACGAAGAGGCACAAAACTACACATTATAAATAAAGGACACAGCATAGAAGAAAACAATTTCATAGAAAATAGAAAAATTATTTGTATTTGGAATCTCAACTAAGAGCAAGATGATAAATGAAAGACACCTGAATTCAAATGCCAGATTCACTGCCTCCTAGTCATGTGATCCTGGGTAAAAATATACAGAAGAAATAAATTAAATGATAGCTAAATGTACTAACTGACTTCTAAATACTGCTTTAGCTGCTTTTCCACAAGTCTAGCTATGTATCATTATCGATATTGTTCTGTTCTAAATTATTTTAATTAGGTCCTCTTTAAGTCTTAGTGTATTTCTTAGGATTCCCATTGTATAGAATTTCTATTTTAAATAACATGATTATTGACTTCTAATTTAACTAATTACATTATATTCGGGGAATTCTTTAAGGCTACCTGTGAACAAATATAAAGTCAACTTTTGTAAAAGATCCATGCTTTGTAAATAAACATTTATTTGCTGGGTAAAGAGCTCTGGATATACAACAACTAGCTTATGTTTGTAAATTTCAGAGTTCAAATACTCTATTTACCATTTATAAGCATTCATCATTTGTTAAAATCTCCCACATGACTCCATTTACAAATTTATCAATTGTATCAAATTATATCAATCCTTTATTTAGACTTTTGAGGCTACACTGTTAGGTATACACAAATTAACAATTATTCTATTAACCTAATGACTTATTAGTATACAAATTATATACTCTTACTCTTCATATTTGTTATCTTTTTCCTTTCTGACCTCAAATTAATATTACTAAACTTGGTTTCTTTTGGTTAATATTTGCCCAGCATACCTTCACATATCACTACACTACCAAATTATGTTGTTTACTTTTAACCATACATGTTATAATAGCAAATGACTTGGACTCTGTCGGAAGATCAGCAGCACACTTCACCCGCACAACTCCGGGAGTGTCTAACAGTCACTGCAGACAAATCACTTTCCCAACACTCACATCTGAGAACATCTTAGAGGAAAACTGACAGGTACACAGAGATGTGTCCAAGCCTATTTTGGAATACCGAAAGTTTTGGAAGAAAACATAAATGATTTTAAGTGCGAGAATGAACACAGGAACTACAGTATAATCACACAGGTAATTGTCACAATGATAGTATTAAATCTGTACGTGACAAAAATAGGTCAATCTCAAAAACTTGTACTGAATGACACACAAGAACATATACAAAACACATATACAGTATGATACCATTTGAGTGAAGCTTAAAAACAGAAAATGTAATACATAAAATGTAGGTGCCTGGATACACATACAAAGATGTTTCTGTGGGAATGTATATGCATTTAAAATATAAAATCGTTATCAGGAAGGACAACCCTCAATTTCAAGAAAATGGTTAACTCAGGAGGAACAGAGAAAAAAATGGGAATTGGAAGGGCCTAAAGAAGGGTGTCAATAACATAGTTAACATGTTATATCATGTAAGATTCCGTAAACCTGGGCAGATGTATATTATGTTTGTGGGTTTTAAACATTTTAAAAAAGCATTTTAGAAATACAGCCAGCCATCTGTATCCCTGCATTCAGCATCTGCAGATTCAACCAACCATGGATCAAAAATATCGGGAATAAAAAATCCCAGAAAGTTCCAAAATGCAAAATTTGAATTTGCAGCATGCTGGCAACTATTTAGCATTTACATTGTATTAGATATTTAAGTTATCTAGAGATGATTTAAATAAAGTATAGGGGTGGGTGTTTGTAGGTTATATTCAAATACTACACCGTTTTATATAAGGGACTTGATCATCTGTGGGTTTTGATACTGGGGGGTGGCCCTGGAACCAATCCCCCTGTGGATACCAAAGGATGACCGTACAGTACAGCAATGCAAATAGTGGACCTACAAGTATACCCAACAAAATGTCTCACAAATTACATGTTTACAGAAGAAGCCTGATACATGCTGACGGATTCTATTTATATGAACTACAAAAACAGACAAAACTAACCTAGGTTATTACAAATCAGGACAACGGTCTGCACTGGAAAGGGGCTGCCAGGACAGGAGCCCAAGGGAAAAGGAGCTTCTAGTATAGTGATCCCTAACAACAGATCTTCAGAATGCATGAAGCAAAGTGAAAGAACTGGAAAGGAGAAATAGAGGCGGTTGGAGATTTCAATACTTTTGTAGTGGATAGAAGTAAAGAGAAATGCCACTACAGATATAGCAGGCCTGAATGACCACCAAGCAACCTTAACAAAGCTGAAATAACTGAAATTATACAAAGAATGTCCTCCAACCATAATGGAAATAAACTAAAATCAGTAACAAAGCTACCTGACAAGTCCACAAATATGTGGAGATTAAGACTACACTTCTACAGGGAATTCCCAGGCAGTCCAGTAGTCAGGGCTCTGCACTTTCACTGCCGAGGGCCTGGGTTCGATCCCTGGACAGGGAACTAGGATCCCAAAAGCCATGCGGTGCTGCCACTAAAAGAAAAGAAAAGAAAAGAAAAGAAAAGACTACACTTCTATGTAAACCAGAGGACAAAGGGGAAATTAGAAAATGTTTTGAAATGAATGAAAATAACCAAAGTTTATAGGGTGCAGTTAACTAATGCTTAAGAGGGAAGTTTATGGCATTAAGTACTTATATTGGAAAATATTTCAATGATTTAAGCTCCCATCTTAAGAAACATAAAATAAAACCAAATTAAAATTAAAACAACCAAAAAGAAAGAAAGAAAGAAACATAAGAGCAAAAAATCACTGAAATTTTGTAAAAGCTAGATCTTTGAGGAAAAAAGAAAAAAACTGAGAAAGTTCTAGAGCAAGAGCAATGGTTCTCCACTGGAAGTGATACTGTCCCCAACGGACATATGGCAACGTCTGGAGACGTTGTGGATTGTCACAACTAGGGAGATGCTACTGGTATACATCTAGCAGGGAGAGGCCAGGGAGGATACTAAACATCCTACAATGCAGAGCATAAGACAGATACTGACAACAGTGAACTGCCTGATCAAAATGTCAATATTGCCAAGTTTTAAGACAAAGCCCTGAGCTAGAATAACCAATAAGAAACAAACAAAAAAAAGACACGAATCACTATAATTAAATTACTACAGACCCTGCAAACGTTAAAATTAAAAAATAGAAAGAAAACTTAAGACAAAGTAGACAAATTCCTTAAAAGACACAAACTGCCGACTCTTAGAAGAAATCTGTAACCCGAGCAGACCTACAATGATTAAAAGAAATTTTAAAATTAAAAAATGGAGCCAATTTTTAAACCTTCCATTACAGAAACCTCAAGGTCCAGGTGGATTCATTGGCAAATTTTACCAAAAATATATAGAAATGGAATAATATCAATTCTACAAAAAAATTCTTCAAATATATAATTTCCCAATTCACTTAGGCCAGTATTACCAAAACCAAATAAGGACATTCACAAGAAAAGAAACTTCTAACTAATATCTCTTAAGAACATCTGAAAATGTTATTATAAGATATTAGTGAGAACATTTGAAAATTAATGTTGATGACCATTTCAACAGACTAAACCGAGAAAAATGATGTAATCATCTCCAGAGATACAGAAAAGATCTTTCACAAAACTCAACATCCAATCACCATAAAAGCTCTTTACAAACTCTGAACTGAAGAAAATTTCTTCAATCTGATGAAGGGCAACTACAAAAAACCTACAGCTTTCACAGAGAAAAGATTTCCTTCTAAAACTGCAAACAAGGTAAGGATGCCTACTCTCACTACTATTCAGCGTAACACTGGAATGTTGATGAGCTGGTGCAATTAACACAAGAAAATGAAAGGGAAGAAATAATACTGTCTACTTACAAAATCCCAAAGTTTTTTTTCCCGAATAGTTGCTATACTAATAAATGAATTTTAAGTAGGTCACAAGATACAAGGTCCGTATGTAAAAGTCAACTGTAGTTCTACACATTAGCAATAAATAGTTGGAAGCTGAAACTGTAAAAGAACAGTACACCATTTACAATAACACTGAAAAACATTACTTAGATATAAATCTTACAAAATATGTACAAGACCTGTATGCTGAAAACAAAGCACTGATGAAAGGAATCAAGAAAGAGCTAAATAGATAAGATACATATATCATGCTCATGAATCAGAAGATTCAATATTAAGATATTCAACCTAAATTAGTCTACAGATTCAGCACAATCTCCAGCAAAATCCCCACGGTGGTGGTGGTGGTGGCGGGGGGGAAGGGGGAAGGACTTCCCTGGTGGTCCAGTGGTTAAGACTTCACCTTCCAATGCAGGGGGTGTGGGTTTGATCCCTTGTTGGGGAGGTAAGAAGATCCCACATGCCTCCGGCCAAAAAAACAAAACATAAAACTGAAGCAATATCGTAACAAATTCAATACAGACTTTAAAAATGGTCCACATCAAAAAAAAAAAAAAAATCTTGGGCTTTTCTGGTGGTGCAGTGGTTAAGAATCCGCCTGCCTTGCACTGGCAAGGGACACGGGTTTGAGCCCGGGTCCGGGAAGATCCCACATGCCGTGGAGCAACTAAGCCCATGTGCCACAACTACTGAAGCCTGCGTGCCTAGAGCCCATGCTCCGCAACAAGAGAATCCACTGCAGTGAGAAGCCCACGCACTGCAACAAAGAGTAGCCCTGCTTGCCGCAACTAGAGAAGCCCGCGTGCAGCAACGAAGACCCAACTCAGCCAAAAATAAAATAATTTAAAAAAAAAAAAAACTCTTAAAAAAAAGAAGTCGGGCTTCCCTGGTGGCGCAGTGGTTGAGAGTCCGCCTGCCGATGCAGGGGACACGGG